GCTCTCGAGCCTAGTACACGAGCCCCTTCCGATGTCCCTGAGACGGTGTAGCATGATAGGTCACGGATGTGCACAAACCGCCAAACCGCGTTGAGGCGTGCGCTCCTTTTGGCAGTTTCTACTGAGTACTCACAATAGATGGGAAACTTTACCTGCTGTTTGGATTTAAGTTGGGATCTATCGTCATCAGGAAACCCTTCCATCAAGTTTTCGGTATCGGGACAAAGTCTCCATTGCTCCGCTGAAATCCCTATAAGTTCATAATTTATGTGTGTGGTGAATTATAATTCCTTACATCTGGATGGTTCCAATGGAGCTAATCGTACGCTTATCAGTGCGGAAACTCTTTTTGTCTTGACAGCTCATTTTTCGGATTATATTTTCATTCCCGGTTACATGTATTGAGCAATTTTCAGTTATTTTTCTCATTTTAGAACGATTTCGAGATCTAAAGTACCTGGATCCGGTTGGAGCCATCCTTATTGGATTTTACATCCTGTACTCCTGGTATCAAATCGGTGCAGGTGTGTGAGTGCTCTTCCAACCATTTGTCGGATACATGGTCTGGTACTGTAATAGGAATGTAGTTAACTGAGTAATAGTTGGTAGCTCCATCTGACCACATTATTTTTCTTTTTGACCTTTAACCCGCGTTCTTGAAATCGTGCCAATGATTGGTATATATCTCATGGCAAAAATAGTGCGTATGGCTGAACGATTTCCTGGTTCTTCGTGATTCAGATATCGTCACCGGGGCAATTATTACCGGCGGGATCGCGTCACGGTTCCGAATCCAGACGGTCTATAAACAGTCGCTTAAGAGAGCTAGAATGTGTGTGTAAATAAACACTCTTCTCGTTTCTCGCTACATTAGATCCGTTGACGGATTGATTGAAGTTGAAGCTGTCGTGATCTACCCTGGTTCGCCGACGAAGATGTCAGGACCCGGTTGGCTGACTTCAAGGCGTTTGCAAGATGTAATGGACCGGAAAGAAACGCACACATCTTGACTGCATCGGGAATACTGCTGGTAGGGCAGCTTTTATACTTGTAAGACGACCACAAGATGTAGCATCGTTGGCAGGCGTGCGTGGTGCTCTGATTGTGTGTGGGGCGAGATGGCCCAGGTGGTTAGAGCGCGAATTTACTGACCGGAAGGTCCGTGGTTCGAACCCGACTTCCACCACTCGCTTTCCACTGTCTAGGCTTGGGCAACCTGGCAGTATCCTAGTCTTCGTGCTTCCTTCGGGTGGCATGGCAGTTAGGCACCGAAAGGGTGCTGCAGCTGAACGATTTATTATTTTTTTGATTGTGTAATCCACTAAGGAACAAGACAGGCAGAGGGCGATGGACTTATTTTATGCTACCTGCTTCAAACCAGAAAGGATCCCGATAATGGATTACGAGCTTCTACCGTATCGCCCATCTGGGACTGCCCTTCAAGGGTGACGTCACGGAAGAAAAGTTGGTTCATAACCGGTCCACAGAGCCTACCGAGTAATCTACAGTATAGAGCACGTGTGGCCACAGCAGTTAGTGTAGAGGCCGATATCGGGCCTGTAGCAATGCTTCCGAGCCACTCCAGTTAATCGCATGGACTGCATTAACTTGAAAGTAAAAATAAAGAAAGTTATAGAAGAAATTGTACACCTGAAGTTCATATTACATCGGAGACTCCTTATACAGTTCAAAATAGAACCAGCAGTGACACTAGGCTTGCCACGGAGTTGACTACTTTACTCAGTTTCATTCGGGCAAGCGTTTTGTCTCCTATTTTTGTTTATAGTGAGACGGGAATAACGATTGCTAGTTCAAATAGGAGTTAACGTAAAGTGGACAATTCTAGGGATAAATGTCCCTTTGCGACTGAGGCCAGGAATCAGTCTGTCAAATAACACTGATCCTAATGGAAAGCCAACCTCAACCGAGGCGGCTAAACTAAGCCAGGCATTCAGTTTTTCAGTTCACAAGCCGTGCATCGAAATGCATTGGTTTCAGCTGCTGCAGTTTTGTTCACCAAGGATAAGGAGAATAAGGGACTGATGGCCACAAATTGAAGGTGATGGCCTAGTCAGTTCGTTGACATCGGTGGGTTCTATTTGTCCGGTGTGACTGTTTGACAGTTACGCAGTGAAGACGATAGCCCCAATGCAGTGCCACACTAACCACTGAGTTCTCATGTCCCATGGTCTTCATCCGGAAGGACGGCATTTATCAACGCGACTCAGTTGACTGGTAAGGTCTGGTAATCCGGATCATGGACCGACTGCCACTGGGTCTCCTCCATCCAAAACAAGTCCTCTAGCATACGATACACATGTCTCAACCAGCGTAACCTGTAGAGTGTGGCCAGTTGAGCTGTCAATGGAGAATGAGCTTTTTCGAAAACCATCTGGCGTACTTTGACATTACCGACTCAGTGTTCCCACTTGACTCGCGCAATGCTTCAGAAGCATCTATGGTCAAACGCGGAGAGCTTTCGAAAGTGCTCCATGCGGCAGCTAGGCCAAATGATAACTGTCAGCCGACTGATGTCATTTGGTATACTGTGGTATGTATACAACAATGTTTAGTGGACTATTTGTTTCCTTCAAGGTCCAACGACCACAGGCTTGGTGACAAAACGGGGCACACCGCTGGTCTCCGTTCAAGATCTATTTTCGGGCAGTCACTAGGAGAATCCCGCGAAATCTGCTCGCTGAGGTGGAGCAGCAACCGCACGTGATGACAGCAGAAGGAAGCGTTCAGAAGACACAAAGGCCTTACGCGTTAACAGTCTTCCGTCTACGTTCAACTTCTATCGACCCCGAAGCATTTAACAGCGTTAGAATCAAGGACGAATTTCCAGTGTCTTTAGCCAGTGTTATATTTACTCTCCTTCATTAGGCTCGAGTCGTCTCATCGATAGACTTGCGTTCAGGATATTGGTAGCTGCCGATGGCCAAGGGCGACAAGCGCAAAACGACATTCTGTTTAAGGGGTTTGAAGTACGGGTTCCTCCGAATGCCTTTCGATTTTTGCAGTGCTCCAGTAACTTTCCAAAGCCTTTTGTTGTGGATATTGGATAAGCTTGAAGGAAGGTATATATGGGGACCACATAGTAGTGTACCCAGAGACAAATAACGGGCTTTGGACGAGGCTTAGAAGAGTTCTGCGGCGAACTGATGAAGCAGGTCTCGGACTCCACAGTTAAAAGGTGTCGGGTTGCTGGAGACATCTAGTTGGAACAGAAGGGATGCAACCACTACCGGAGATTATCATCATGATCAAAGACAGCAACGTCAATTTTAACACTGATGCTTCACTACCGTACAACCATGAGGTTCGTCTAATTATATTTAAAGCCCTTGACTGAAAAGAAGAGGAAGAGGGCGAGAGAGGCGGCTTAGTGCTGGCCTATGTCAAGTATTCTGAGGTGCATAAACCTCCAAGTGCTCAATCAGACAATCTGGAAAGAAACTGATGACAACGATTACTCTCCATTTCTTGCAACGTCTCCAGCCAAGCACGGATGGGGTAACGGGGACCCCATCCTGGAAGATTTACAACACCAACTACACCCAAACTCTTCGTGATCTCTTTCATGCCCCTCCGCCAAGTCATGCGTCGTCTACATCGCGGTTTGCGCCATTCTGAAGGAGGTACGGAGAACAACATTCGTCTCCGTAGACGGTGTTTCGACATGGGGAGCACGTGTCCCAGCCATAGTGGTCGGTGGTGCTGAATGTTTACTCGGATGGAAGTACCTGCCGCTCAACCAAACACCCATTTTCTAATCACCTCGTCACTAAAACGCTGATCCCATCCGAAGCCAGTCACGCTTCTGAAGACGCCCCACACCATCTGTCGGAAGAGGCCATGTCTTGCACCCGTACAAACACAGCCCTTATTGTAGCCTGGTATACACGATCCCTAGTACGATGTCCTTTTGACGCCACAAGTGACGCAAATTCGCAAATGTGATTGGAGCCTTTGATATTGTTGCACTGACTTCATCGGACACACTTCCGTCCACAATCTCCAGTGATTCTCCTCGAATATGGGATATGCTCAGAGACTACACGCTCTGAAGCATGACTTTGCACTTTGTGCAAGGTGCATCCCAAAAGATGGTGTGATGGTGGCCAGTCTATTCAACAGGGCTTGTGCTTCGCCTTGATCTTCAAAGATGAAGGCGATGTCATCTGCGTATTCTAGATCGACAGGACTCCCACCAGCAACAATTTGAACACCGGGGTTTTGAAGACCTTCCAGCGTTCACCTCATTTTATCAATGATCAAGTTGAACAAGAATGGGGAGAGTGGACATCTTTGTCGCACACCACGTTTTGTAGGACAGCTTTTGGAGAGCTCGCCGTACTAACTAACACTGGTTACTACATTCACTGCGATTACCCTTTTTGAAAATGGGCACTACTGTCGATTCACTCCAGTTGTTTGGGACGGTCTCTTTCTCTGAATAGACCAGACAGGTGTTGGCTGAGGAGTTCACCGCCTTCCTTGAGATGAGCAGGTGGAAGATTGTTAGGACCAGCAGCACGATGACGCTTGAATAGGGGAATAAACTCGGACACTTTTGAGACTAAAGGCGGCTCAGTATTCACGGTTCACCTTTCTGTTGAAGGCCAGGATTCTGGATTAAAGATAACAGGTGGCCAGCTGATCATCATCATCCATCATATATATATATACATATATATACATATATATGTATTAAAAGCCCTACAGTAAAAAGAAGAGAAAAAGAGTGGGTGGGGAAGGAAACCTAGTGCTGACCTATGTCAAGCATTCTGAGGTGCCTACACCTTCAACCGCTCAATCAGACAATCTGGAGAGAAACTGACAGCACGAACGCCAATGATATCGATTAGCCGCCATTTCTTGCAACGTCTCCAGACAGACAGACGGGGTCACGGGGACCCACGGAGGTGGACAGCTGAATTGTTGTTCGAAGTACTGTTCCAAGTGGTCCAAACATTTTGCCTTGCTGCATATCAGGGAGCCGTTTCGGCCCGTTTATTTCTCTGACAAGAGTTTTCCGAGCGAACGAATCAAGTGGATCAGCTTGCGAACGTTTACAACATTCTTCCATTCTTCCAGTTTTTGGCCTTTCGAGTCCACCAAGCTTCTCGGTCTGCACGTATACTCAGGTTCATCTAGCGTCGGGCGGAGTTGTGATTGCGTCCAGGAGGAATCTGTCGCCGGGTCTTCAGCAAAGACACGATCATATCAGAGATCCAATGATTGAATGAGGTCCCGGTTTGGAGTAGCGCTTGAGATTTTTTCCCCAATGGCCGTTTATTTCCGACGTCGTACCATCTGACAAGCGTTTGAGGAGCTGGATCCAGTAATTTCGTTTCACTTGTGGGTACACTACCTTCTCAATGGCCAAGTGAGTTGTGGGCGATTTGCGTACACCTGAAAAGCGCAAAGAAAAGCATACAGGTGCATGGGTGGAGTCCACGATGGTATTCCAGAAGGAGCGGCAGGCGGTGATCACACCTCGCCATCGATAGCTGACGGTGATGTGGAATCGGGGCTGGTTTTTGGTGGGCACCCTATTTTCAAGCGATTTTCACTTCCGGAAGTTCGTACTGGAAAGCAACAGTCTGTGATCGGCACACATCTGAAGTAGCCGGTCTCCGTTGTCCGTGCGTCTCGTGTCCAACCCCAGATGACCACCTACCCGGGTTTCAGCAGCGCTTAGTCAACCTACCTGGGCGTTCATATCACCAGCAACCACAACGATATCTGAGCTTTTAGCCTGTTGTAGAAGGGCACGTGGAGCGTCATAGAAACTGTCCTTGGCAGATTCAGAGCTACAGTCAGTTGGGGCGTAAGCAGACACACAAAACAAGGTGCGATAGACCTCACTTCCTCTAGATTTTTTCAGGATTTTGCCAAACGAACCGCGCAGAGGAGACTATTAACAGGTATTCAGTCAAGCAGAGACGCTTTCGCTTGGTCGCGCAATACAACACGCGCCCCAGCATATCCAGCTGCAGCGGCCTCTGCATCACCCGAGGTGAGCCGAAACTTGGAGCAAAGCTAGGGGGTAGTCAGTTCGACCACAGTATTTGCATCCTTGTTTCTGACAGACAATATACATTAATGTAGAGGAGATCCAGCGTACTAGCAAAATCCACCTGTTGACCTGCTTGTTTCGGTGTGCAAACAATGAAGGCAGCTAGATAGACATGCTTTCCGGGTTTGAAAACAGACTTCGAAGTGATTAGGGTTGTGACTGAACTCGGACGTACAGAAGCTGTGGCTGAGTGTGATGCAAGGGAGAAAAACGGTCAATCTTGGTGCTGGGACCTGCACAGAACGTATTCAAATTTGGGTGGGGGCCGTCCGTCCGTCCTCATAAACACTCGGTGTGGTCGAATGTTTAAGCCACTTGTTGACAAGAAAGAATGAAATACTCGACAAGTGAGAGGGTGCGCTCAGTGAGCGCATATGTTCAGGATAAATGGAGAGTGTTTACTGGCCACCAACTTGGATATCTTCACCGGCCACAAACTGTTAACCCGGCTAATAACTGCGAAGCACAACGAGGGTGGCTGGTGTGACGAGTTTACTGCCTCCGAAAATACAATTTCACCATAATACACGTCGGGGCTCGAAGCAACGAGGTGCCACCGACCTTATCACGCCCAAAGTTCGAAAAGATTCGGAGTAATGCACTACCTGTGAAACAACTAACGTCGTCAGGTAGGCAATTCTTGGACACGCAACAAGACAAGCAGACTTTGAGGAGACGACACATTGTTGTAATGACGGCGCTGGGATAAGCCGTACCAACAGCAGAACAAACCGCTAGAAGTGTTTTGGGAGTGTTTTTCTTGATAGTGTAGTGGCTATTTTCGCTTTCCTTACCCAGTGATGAAAGATCAAGTTCCCTAAACCGAACCCCGTAGATTTGACCGTTTGGATATCCTTCAAGTCTGTGCATCCCCATATCCTCTTCAGTCCTGTGGGTTGGCCGAAAAACATGACCGCCTAAATGAAAGACGCCCTAAAATCAGCGATGAAATGAGGATTCTCCAGATGTGATGTTCTCTTACAGATCAATGAAACATTCCACAATACAGGTAGCCTCATTTGACTTGGTTTACCGTCGTTAACTCAGGTATCTGCCGGGTCAGCATACAAGAGTGTTATCATGCGGAGGGTGCGTGTATTTAGAATTGAACACTATTACTTAGGTGATAAAAGAATGAAACTCGACGTTGAGAACATCATACTCGGAAATGGAAACCATTCGCCATTGGAGTGAGGGTTAGGGTAAAGAACTTCAGCCATAATTATATTTTGCGTCCCGGGCAGGGAATATCAGGAAGAAGTGGAATTACCGGTCCTTATCACGTTTCAGAATCCCGACGATGTACCGACACCCATGTCTGGAAGCTAGGGACTGCGTATGAATAGCGTTTTTCCAACTTCCTGGATTCTTCCTGCACTTGGGGCCAGTCATATTCCCTCACGCTCATTCTTTCGACCCTTCTCATCTTAGCCTATCAGAATCCAACTGGGTTTTGAATTCAGGCGCCCTCTTTGTTGTTCTGACAACGCGGCTTGCTCCATAGAGGGCAAACAAACTTATTAACTCACTGGGCTTGAGGAAACAGTTGGTCGTTAAGAACTTATCTTAATATGAGATGTTTAATGGTAATGCATCGTTTAGCAACAAGCATTGTGCGTTTTAAAATTTTCATGAGTTTCTGTTTCATCAACTCACCACATTGGCCTTAAGTGCGAAACGTCTGTGGTACATCGGTATTAGCGAGGTTTTTTCATAGTTACCTTCATAGGCCTTCTTGCCTTCTTGCGCTCAGTTCGTAGGTGGACCTTGTAGCAAAATGTGCTGAGGTGAACATCTGCACCACATTCACCCGTCTTTTGCTTGGTGGATGAATGAACAAAATACGCATATCGATTCATCCCTAATATTTTAGGCTCGATTGAACGCCGATAAAATCGTATAAAAAATCGCGCGATCTTAGAAATAACTTGTCGTACAGCACTCATATAGTCACCGCAATTCTGAATGAAGTTGAAGCGCACAAGACACCCGAGATTTTCATGCTCACATCACTCGCAAGTTTCCGAAATTCCTGTTTTGTCCAACTGTTCACAAGTGTACTTTCGCATCCCACAGGGAAGCCAATGCGCATTACGGCACATGTGTAGCATGGGAATGCAAATCTAATTTCTATTTCAGTGCCACTGAAAACGTCGAATTTATAAAATACAGAGATAGTCACTGTTTCAACACGTCCTTTCAAGAAAGGATCAGGCATAACTAATAATTCCTCAAAAGTCTCCGCTCGCGGTACTATATCCATGCGGACAGGTCGGTTCCTTGCGATACATCTTGGTTATCAGAATATTGTGTAACTCATTTAAGTACATTTTGATAGACTCTTCGCGACTTGCATACCTGTGTCAAATTTGGGACGTGATTGGGTGGCTCTATCTTCCATTCATGTCAGAGTTGGATTCTGTAAATCAATTCAGCCCCTTTGTAATATCCAATTAGACTTGCCGAGCTCCATTGGGTTTAAATCGGAATCACCAGCTAGCAAACAGAACTATATTCGGCTCCTTGCAAACTGTTTGTCTCCTATCAACTACGCACAGATGTTCGGAAGAGTCTGAAGTTCCAAAACTGTTGCATAGTGATAGATGTTCATTCCTACGTGGGGTTATCCGAACGTGATTGCATTATAACTGCATTATCAAACATATTAACTTATTCGGAAAGGACTGGCAGGCGAAATGTACGTTCGCACGTTGAGGTGATTTACCCAGCCTGTTGCAAATAGTCATCTTCTTTGTCATTCAACGTTAGCACGCTCATATTGAAATTCTGTTGTTGTACGGAGTTTTTTTGCTTAAATTAGATTGTTGTCCTTTTGACGCCAAATCATTGACAAAAGCTTGTATTGATCACTCCGCTACCTTTCAATGCGGCCCATGATGGTAATCCGTAGTACGAGTTCCTGCCCGTTTCAAGAAGACAGTATCAGATCGTCCGATGTGATCTTACATGTTCGTTTGCTCCACACAGTATTTACCATCTACGCCTTGGTAGCGAGTGCGTATCAGAACATAACCCAGTTCCTTACATTGTCCCGGTGAAATGCATCCGGCATAGAACGTATCGCATTAAGACATTTGGTACTTGACTACAATTACAAGTTCTCATGCGAAAATCCTTGAAATTTTGTCTGCCCGTACAACAATGCCTGTCCTTCAGATAGATTGCAGTTCTCCAGACAGCGCTGCTGTTGTCAATGCTTTATTATGCTGTCTGTGCTATTCGTGCCGAGTTATGGACCATCCGTATGAGCAGTTGTATCCACTCTCAGTTGAAAACCCCGAATTGTCCATTGGTCAGAATGAATTTAATTCATGGGCTACAATTCACGGTAGCTAGATAGCGTAACGCGAATGTTTTGTCAGGGGAGTTGTGTTACGTTAGAACCGTCCAGAATGTTCCTAAGTGATGAGCGTCCTCCTCTCAAATTTGTCTTCGATATGACTAACTGTTGTAAACATCAGTAATACTTTGTAAGGCTATTTCACCTAACAGATTGTTTGTGTGCTGTTACACGTTACCTTTTTTCGTCTCAATCAACCACGGTCTACTCCTTTTTATCGGCAGAACAAACCCGCAACCTGGCTGGACACACAGCAGATCCCAGATTTATTCAGAAAATCGCTTTTGTCAGTCTGAACCACCACGCAGCGATTGAACGGTTGGATACTATCCGGGCTTTCCATTTCGGCTCACATTTTCTTGTAGAGGTAAGCTCACAGAAATATTCAATATGCACTGCGGATAGAGACTGAATGACTTTTTCAAACTCTTTTCTCATCTGTGTTTCGCAGATTTTTTGTAGTTCATGAAACACAGTAGTGTTCCTCAACAGGCTAAATCCAAAAACCACAAATTCCCGGAGTAGGACCGTTTCAGCCCTGTTTCTTGGGCTTTTACACGAAGACACCAACCCCGAATAACCTCGTGACAGTTAGGTCTCATTTCGAGCTAACCAGGAGGCAACTGGCGTGATTTTTATCTCTGGGTACATAATTGCAGCAGTTATCCTTCTCTGAATACCACATGAGGGTTTCAAACAAACTAATATCCTCTGGACAGGTATTCAAGTAAATAAAGGTCTCAATAGGCCAACCGAGTGTGTTCCTTTGTGAGCTTAGCTCTACAGAATGGAACAGGCATATTGGATAGGAAACAAACATACATCGGCAGATGCAGATCCCCAGGGAGCCCCCATCAACGCCAGTGTTCATAAACTAAAATCGTAATCCATCATCGTGGATATACTGTTGAGTACTTAGGTATCAAAAAATTCGTTTCACAAGGTCTCACGTTGCACTACATCGATGCTGCGGAAGTTAGTCAACACCCTTCAAAAGAACAGTTTATTGGTCTCTGAATGTCCGTTCGACAATTGAGTCTGTCATACAAGACTTCATTACAAAATATTACACTTAGTTGGTCTCTGCCCTGCGGAGGAGTGCAACCGTATTTTGGCAGGGACGTTTACCGAGGAAGAAAAATTAGCTGTTCTGTTGACCAGTGGGACCTCGGCAGAATGTAGAAAACTAAACGTCCAAAGTTCCTGCAAAGCTGAAAAATCATATCTGTCGTGTATCACTACTGTGGACCCCGATGGACAGACTGCTACAAGGAGAGACCCTTCTGAAGATGAAATCGCAAAGACCCGATCCACTTAAAACTCCTTAGAAGCGACTATCTTAGGAAGGTGGGCTTTTTGAAGAGGTGTATCTTGGTCTGTCCCTCCAAAGGAAGAAGACCACAGCAAGGTGTACGAAACACTACAGCATCCTGATTTTCGACTAAGGACACTAAATTTTAAACACATCAACCAACGCATTTCTCTGCTGATTTTTTTAAAATTTGGTTTTCCGCACGCTTTGCTCGTACGATCTCATTGGTGCGTTTGTACGGTACGAAACTTAACTGTGGACGTTTCAGTGCTACAGTTAATGAATTAATGGCCCTGTGCTTAATTTGGAAGTTGTGTTACTCATGGATATAACTGGTGCCCCTCTTATTCTACGAATGATGTGCTGAATGATGCTCGTGGTTTGCGCAAAATCAGTTCACTCATTAATTGTGTTGATTATTGTTATCTATGCCTGATACAACTTCTATGAGCGACGACATGAAGAACGAAGCTGACCGTACTTTAAACGGTTTTTCCATATACCCGCGATTTCATTGCCAAACTGTCGGTGAAAGCAAAACACATGTCCTTAGGTTGAGGGAGTTCTCTTGTTCGGATTTAATCTTCAGACCTGTCATGAAGCGTTGATCGTACCCTGATGTTAGCCTTACTGAGGCCGAGGTCCATTTGTGTGAGTTGGGGTTTAGTTGAGCAAGCCCGTTTTTCCTTCGTCGAGGTGAATCCCTCCCATTTCAGTTGTTCTCCTTGAGCGTTTTTCCTGCAACAGTTCAGTTCAGCTGTAAGTCACAAGCATGTATAGTGGTTACGATTGTCATGGTTTCAGTTTCACAGTTATGTAAACGACAGACACCAAAGACGATATCTTCTGTAAAACAATGCTCTTGGTAAACAGTCGTAACATATAATGCAAACGCCTGAGATTCCGTCATTCGCACTTTATGGCAATTTATGTGTTACGTGAACGATATCTGCTGTGCGATTATATAGTTTATTAGCTATCACCCCAGTATCCCACAAATACGATCCTAGGCCAGTGCGTTAGTTGTCAGCGGTTGATGAAAGTAATTTATTTTTTCAGTAGCCTCATAGAATGGGGTGAAGTTATTGTCACTACCGGCTGGTTTGTTTGTAAAGGTGATTTTGGTTTTCTTTCACCCATTCTAGTAAAATCACTATGCAATTCGCAGGTGCAAAAGACAGATGAGCCTAGTGTGCATACTTCTCCGAATCATCTACATCTTTGTACTTTTGTGGGATATGATCCTCAAATGGCGCTCATTATCTTTGTGTTACCAGTTTGGGGTAAGTTCGGTCCAACTAATCTCAGTGGCAGGTAGAGAGGATTCAGTTGTGTCAGCCATAAAGCTGGGGAGAAAAACTCAGCCGTCGACATCCTGAATCAATTTGGGCTTTGTTCCGGGACCACGCTTGTGACTTTTGTCTCAATATTTGACCCGTCGGAGACCTACTGAAACAGTGAATAATGTGAATGCGAGATTCGCCGTGGTTGGAGGACAAATCGACGTATTCTGGTGGCCTATGGCCTCACTCGAAGTGGTATAGGCCATAGCATGTTCCTTGAGCACGTACCTGCTCCATCAGGTATTTGAGATACTCTGAGGATCATTAGCGATGTAGAGTGGGTTGTAGCGTTACTGCGTCGGGCTACAGCCCAAGCATCGTTATATGGGTTAGACCTGCGTATTAGCCATGAAGTGACCCCAGTACCCACTTTGTTTCTTTGGTGAACAACCGGTTGGGACGAGCGATTGCACGTTGAAGATATTTCGAAATATTGAGGTCTTAGCTCGTTGGTTGCGTTTACTGGATCATGTGCTTATCTTGTTAGCACGATGGAGCTTAAGAATGAGTAGCTCTTCGTTCAAGTAGTTGTTGTAGTGCTACAATGCTATTGTAAGGGTTGCTGGCAATTGATGTAACCCGTCTTGGGTCTCCGTACACTAGAAGTGTTGCGTTAGGTGGTATTACCTTCATTTCTGCAGTTCCGATTTCGTAAGCGCTTATCATCCGCGTGGTCAGGTAGTCGCAGCTGAACAATTGTGGATCCGCAGATATTGGTAGTGATTTTCCATGATTTTATCGATCATGAAGTTGGGGGAAACGGGAGTGGTGACGATATGGCTTAGCTCTATTACGTGTGGTACATTCTGTTGGAAGCCTTCGCTAGGCCTTCATAAGGCACGTGACGCTCCGTAGAATGCCTTTTGAAGACTGAACTTTAGTTCGAGCGCCTCTGTCTTGCATTCTCATTATTGTCTGTCCAGGTCCAGGTAAAGAAAAGCGGTTATCATTGGAAGTTGAAACCAGTCATCCGCTTCCAATATGTAAATGTACGGTTTTCATTCCTCTTGGGACAAATACCAACCTAATTGAGTTCGTCTCCGGAGGATATCACAACCACCAAGCTGATACGGCGACCAATTTCTGGTAAAATTCGCGTGTCTTTTAAAGACAAAATGGATGTAATGCCTTGATAAATACACTTATTTGCATCTCAACTGGGTTTCTAAGGGAGACTTGAATCTCTTGTTTATTAGGTGAAGTCCCCTCGTTGCGAAAGTACTTCCTCTTCATGCCAAACTAATTTTTCGCTTTGTCTGCTCACCTTCCACTTTCCTGGTTTGGTTGAACTCCAAGAAACAAGGAGTCAGATACAACGTGTATTTATTTCATAGCAATTCACCACATTAGCGTCAATACTCAGTTTTGCAGTTCAGGACCCGAACCATTTTACATACCATTCGCTTTCCAAAGCATGAGGTGCTGCAGCTTTTGTAGCAGAGTCACGCTAATGCTGCTACCATCTTAACCATATTGGGTGGTACATCTGTGAAACAGAGTTGTCTTCTCATGTGCTTGATAAACTCATCCAAAGTATGTTTTTATGGCGTCATCTTCCCTATATTCACCACATGTTTTTTCTACCTACTTCAGGTGGATATTGTTTTGCCGATGGGGATGCGCCTGAAGGAAGCACACGATATTGGAGAAACGTTGCAGAAAAAGCTTGAGAGAGTGGAACACGTGGAACGTGCTTTTGTACATTTGGACTATGAGTTTTCTCACCATCCAGAAAGCGAGCACAAGATCGCCAACTAGTTGCTAACGTCGCTCCTCTAAAACTACAAAAATCACCACAGAGACGCGTTGTCTGTTCATTTGACATTTGTTTATTGTTTATTCCTTTTGATCTCATTGTGGTCGCACTCAGCGCCTATGAATTACCTTTTCCCCCACTTTTCGGGCAGAATCTCTTGTTGAATTGTCAGCCTGATGATATCAATTATGTACATCAGTCTCTGAGCTTTCAATTTTCGAGTTTCAAATTTTGCTGATCCCATTGTTTCTGAGTATATCGTAGGGCGACACAACGATTACTATGCATGCCAAGCTAAAAAACATTCTCCCGTGGTAGTTAATCAGATGGCTGCTGATCTGTTTGCTGAGCTTGGTAATTGACTTTCACATACGTTTCCTCACCATTCAATAAGACTACCACTACGCTGCTGGGTGCTCTGCTTTTGAGTTTCACATTTCTGCAGTAACTGGTCGTTATGGCCTCTTGATTCTCTTTCAGTGATTGGACTTCCGTTCAAAGGTGGACATTTTCCCATAGCCTATGAGTACGAAGAAAGTAGGAAGGTATAAAAATCATTGCGTAGAAAATTCCTAGTTTCGTATCTGGAAAGAAAGTTGATGTGAAACGAAAGTGAGACTATTTCAAAAGTTGCACCTTACCGTTCGGATATTAATCAGTACCATGTAGTCTCGTTGAGCGGAGAATGATTGCTTCGAAAACGGTGTCACTGAGGCCCCTTCAGAAATATTTTTGATCAGCGTGATGCAGCGATTGTTTCCCGGTTGCCATTCGTTTCAAGCTAGGCGATAGCTGACAGTGATAGTTAAAATCATACCTGCGATATCCTCCGTCATGTGTTAAACGTCCCTTCTGCTAACAGAAATGCGTAACAAATTAGCGTCGACAAACAAACCTTCGATACAACTCTAAGTTGGGGTGTTTTTCGGTGAATTTCGACCAAGCTCAGCACACTGGATCGAAATTTAAGCCGGATGCAAGTGGTCACAGTGTAAACCAACACACTAATTGGTGAATCTTCGCACATCTTTGCTCAGAAATTTACTCCGATGTACACCACTTTATCTTTGAAAAAGTATGGGCATTATCCCAGTAAGATTTTTCTCTGTTTGCACGTATATATTCAACGTAGTTAGCCTTATCAAACGGGATCAAGTAATCCTATACGTTGTTGAAGCACCTTCTTGGGATTGACTGAAATAAAAACAAGCCAAATTATGCATTCATCTGCATACCAATTCAGTTCTGAAGGGGAATTTTCCTGGAACCCAGCTAAATCTCTTGTTTTTGGTGTTCTTAGGTCCCAAGAAGTGCCAAAACGGTCGGGGGCTGTCGAAGAGTCTATGAGTAGAGTACTGAGTCCATACAAACATCAAGTTTTCTTGTGAATAATTTGTTTGCCATCACACTAGATCAGACGCATGCGAATTAAGACGACATTATCACAACAAAATTTGAACCGAAAATTGTTGCAGCTGTAAAACTCATGCTTCCAGCTAATAGTCCAAGTCCTGAACGGTTCACAATACGTGCAGTTTACCGCTTGATTTGGATTATCTTTGAAATCTTTGTGAGTGGAACGGACGCATGCCATTCTCGAATGATATCGGGGCATTCTTCAATGCAGTTGTCACTAACCGTTCAAATAATGGTACGAAGCTTAGTCCTCGACATGGAAATTCATTTGTTCATCTGAAACTTGTCACATACTTGGCCCTCTTTGGGTCCCCACAATCTTATCACGATATCTCAACATGAAACTATCTTAGAACTCCGTCGGCTATAACGGGTAATTCAACACGAGGAGTTGGTAGACATTAAGACGCCTGGAGTTTATTTCTTAACTCCTTTTTGCGCTGCCGTTTTTCTGTAAGAGTTTTCTGTCTGTGACCAGCAGAAGCAAACTACAAGTTGCCCTTGATTGGGAGGATTAAAAAGAGATCTTGTTTTTAATTGGTCGTGGACGTCATTTCCATCGACAAAATTCCCCCAAAATGTAAACTAATTAAATATCTATTCACAAGCGCAGTGCTCAATCGTTTTCATGCGTTATCTACCCTGGGTACACAAACGTTACCACTCTGCAGCTGTCGATTCAGTTTTACCCGTTAGTAATATGGCTTGCCAGCTGCTCAGTTAGATGGTGACTCAGTAACATTCATGATCGACTGTCCTGCGGTAGTTGATAGTTTACCAATAAGCTAATTCGACTGAATATACTCAGATAGTTGAGAGCACGTGCGTTGCAGTAGCATGATTTCGATATGTCCTCGTCGGAGGAAGTGCCACGAAGACGATGAGGTGAAGCGTTTTCTTTGACTCATGTTCAGATTTCCGCACAGTATTGTACCGATGCAATCCCCTTACTCTAAACGCCTTCAATCACCCTACCAAGTTTTCGTAGAGATCTTACAGAGTGGATTGTATCAAAAGTGTTAGGCGGAACTCCATACGGATCCCTCTTTACCGCTCGCATTCAGGTGCTGCTGCCGAGAAGTCCATCCCACGGAAGATTGGCCAAGAATTCGGGACGCTTGCCGGTCCGGCATCAAGACGAGATCTCATTGGTCGAAAGTCTGGACCCAACAGCCAAGCATGACCCAGTATTGGCCGAATACCGGTTGTCAATGGCACGTCCAGAACGCGTCAGAATTTCCAGAAAGTTATGACTGCCTACCCTATATATATATATNTATATATATATATATATATACATGAAGCATGACTCCGTTTTGGGTGTTAATATACCTTGTGCACCCTTGGTGGTTGTTTTGACGTGAACGCTAGCTTGAGAGACCCCAACCGATAACTAATCGGAGAAAAATACCGTTGCTACAAAAAGTGAAATCACGTTTGATAATTTTAAAATTAAAAGGTGCATACGAATATAGTAATAGACCTTTTTATTCAAGTTTCAGTTTGTATTAACATCGCAGTCAGTCGCTTTGAAGTTGTTTGACTGTGACGATTCGTGTGCATTGCTGTGATTGCCGAGTGGTGTGTCGTTCTATTGGGTCATGTGGCTGGTAGCAGTAATGCATGGATGGGGCGATTGTTTTATTCTTGGGGATATAGTTGTGTCATCTTTCTTAACAGGTTCGCAAGTAATAGAGGGATGATCAGTATTTTGAAGCACCTAGTGTGGAACGGCTTAATACTTCGCTAAAAAACGGAATTAATTTCTATGCTGTTTCATTCTTGTTGAGATTCCCCAACAAGAACTAGCTTACGAATCTGTAAGGGGACTGTGATTCACGAATACTCCACCAAAGTTTTATCGCTTATTCGTGCGGCTACCGTTATTCATATATTCACATTTTTCACGAAATTAATCATCTGAAAAAGAGAGTGCTATCATTCACAGGTTAAGATTTATTCGAGGCGCACTCTGAAAAATCCATGCACATCTAGGGACTGCAACCCTATGTAGGAGCTAACTCCATGTTAAGAAGCACACCTTTTAGTTCTAAGCATCGGGGACTGACTGAGGTTGCTACTCTGCGGTTAACGGACAGGTCATCTTTATTATTGGTTCAGCAATGAAGTCTTTTCACGGATCTGATCCAGTTAATCTACTGTCCTGAATCAGCGGATACTGATGCATTGGACGTTTCTCATCGATTCACAAAAATCCGTCAGTCAGAGACGAACGCCATTCTCGCCACACTGAAACACTTAGCACTGATTGTGGCCGTGCGTGCTTATATTGCTTTTTTCCTGATATCGAAGACCATCGTATAGAAACTGAACCTTGCTGTAGCATGGCGGTTTGTGCATTTTTGTGGTTCATTGAGTTGTGTTGTGGAGTACTGTAGTGCTCAAATCCTCTTATACTGAGTGAGCCGATTGTTTATGTCTCACTCATGTAGGCCGCTTGTCGCCAAGGTTATCGGTTGGGACGTGTATGGCTACTTGTTCCCTGAAGGCTAGATCACATGCATCATCGCTGCTTTGCGATCAAATACTTGAGCCATGTGATCCGACTGAAGTTTTTTGTCGCCCTTTCTGAGTCTGGGTCCCTTGATCACATCTGTCTCCATGTGCAATCCTGAATCACACGGGTAGTTTATCGCCTCACTGGCTGTCGTGTTGTCTTGTCACTCTCCATACTGCATACAACAGGGTGGACAGACAAAATCGGACTACTACATCCCCTCCTCTTTCAACTGTTTGTTCGTATTCCTTATCTCACCACATCCGTTTGCCTTGCTTCACTTCCAGCTTAGATAGCCATACGTCGCTCAACCACCACAGACATACTCTACAGTCAGCCTTCATATTTAAAGTGCGGTTGAAAGTTTTGACCATACTTGAGGCCATTCTTGCCGGACTGTTTGGTTTCCCTCATAGGTAATTCCTGTTTGAAACAAGGATAGGAGACAAAAGTCCAGTTGCCATTAAATAGCCATCTAATTATGATCGAATCTGAAAATTCTCGCTGTACTACACCGATTGGGAATTAAGACGAATGATAAACCACGCAGATGGTGCACACAAAAAGAGTTATTACCAGTCCCGTAGATTACTAAAGCAATCTCTCTGACACTGGGTGGCCGCCGCACATTGTGTTTCTAGGAGCGAACAGCGTCAAGCTCGGGTGACGAAGAATGGTCCTCCAAATTTGCTTTCTTAAGGGAGATCGCTTCCAACATAGAGCGGTTTAGTTCAGTTTGATCCGAGTTCCAAAATTTCTGAAAAGCACACCCCCAAATGCCTCCGAGACGCAGGTACTCATTTTACCAAATAACAGTGTGTGAAACTTGCAAGCTGAAATTTCCCACAATCCGATGATAAGAATGTAGGAAGTAGTCAACCTGGATATCGAGGTGGCGGAGATATAGAACCACGAGTTCCTTCTTTATTACACACATTCCATGCACTCACTGAACTCTGAAGACTACTTTAGGGGATGGAGAATAGGCTGAAATCCTTAACATAAAATCGCTCTGGATCAGCAGAAGTGACTGCATTTACGGCAACTTTGTTTCGAAGACAAAGGAATTGGACAAAACTCTGAAAACAAGGTAGAAGAATATCTACCTCTTTCGGATTGCATGGAAACACAGAACTTTCCGAGTGGTTCCATTGTCTTACAGATACGTCAACATTTTATAGAATACTAGATTTCGGATGAAAAGATTTATGATACTAGCAAGCGTTGTAAAATATGGAGTATAAATGTTTCAAAACTCTTCCTACAAGGGGTTTAGAAGAAAGTTCTATGCTCACTTCAATTTCCGTTAAACGAACTGTGGTACTAAAACGGTAGTCGTCCCATATTAGGCTTGATCACATCTAACTGAAACTTAACTAACAGTGAATATTAGATCAGCGAGTATTCCTACACGTCAGTGGATTTCCATAGACAACGATGACTGGTACACTAATCACGCTGTGTGCATTCTTGATATGTATATCCAGTACATCGGCCTGACTCAGTCTACTCAGTGCGTCTATCAAACGAACGT